TCTCTACTTGTGCCCGTCTGGGTCAGCGCGCCTTTGACTCGAAATGAGAGAAGATTTTCAAATAATACGTGTATCCAGGGAGCAGCCTGGCCCGGGTGAAATGATTTCATTTTCATCTTGATCTCTATCTTATCTGCCTTCTTTGTTCCCCTCACCTTTAGTGCTGCGTAGATCAAAGAATCTTGTTTTCTCTCCCTCCGAACATGCCGAGAGAAGGGCGTGGGTGTGGATTAGGCCCGGCTGGGGGTCCGTCCTCTTGCATTGGGGCTCTGGCTTTGGTGTAAATGAAGTTTGGTGCCCCTGGGATATCGTTCCCCCTCCTGCTGTCGTTAACAAACAAGATATGCCCTCTACGAAGTGTCTGTCCTGGTCTGTGCCAACCTCATCAGTCTCCCGCTATGTTGGGTGCCCATTGCGGCCTCCTGATGGGACGATGAGGTGTGAATAACCTGATGTTGGGAACTGGCTGGAACGGACTTGCCTCTGCTTGCCTGTAGCACTAGCAGCCCTAAGGAGTTTGATAATGGGGATGCACCAGGGGGTCCTGCACAGCTGCAGTCAGTCCTACACACTGTTTAATGATAACACTGTTCAAGATGGAAGATTCTGTTCATTTACTTGCCAGCCGTTGATTTCACAAAGCTTATTTAACTTCTAGTGTAATCGAAGTGTTATTTGATTAATCAGGTGAACAGATTTCACATTAAGAATGACACTTTAAAATCAAGAACAATGCTTCAAAGATCTTGGTGACATGGCCTTGTGGTTAAAGGATTATTTAGAGACTGTCAACAGCATTTAAAGCGCCAATTTAAATACAAATCGATGCACATGGAGCAAGGAAAGCAGAATGAGAAGCTCTTTTTATTAAAGCACTTGTGAATTATTTCTTATCTAAATCACCTTTTTAGTGGCTAGACAAAAATTACAAACTTAAACAGTGTTACCAAACTTAAATTGTCTCCGTTGAGGGAGAAAAAAATATATAAAGTAACTGGACACATGATAATCAATTATTGGGTCAATTACTTTTTTTATAATACGTACAAATCACTTTGTACATACAGTAATTGAAATATCTTCAATGATTGAAATTGAATATTGATACTAAAATATTCATATCACAAAATATTTATTATATTGTTATTATTTTTTTAAATATTTCATTAATATTTATATATTTCATCAGTAATTTCATTTTGTGATTTATTTTGTAATTACATTACTTTTTATTAGTAAAGATATTCATGAGCTGATAATGAATGTTATTTGTTGTTGTTGTTTTTTTTAATGTAATTGAAAAAAATACTCCTGTTTTCAGGGTATTACATTTTGAATCATTAAAATTAACTTTTTTCTTGAAAAGTTTTCAAAACCATATGAAACAAACAAATACAGAGCTGAAAACTTGGCCCATGTGTTTTAAATATATTTTTTAAAGATTTTCCTTTTTCTTTATTTTGCCCTGTATCTCATTGCCGCTTAAACATTGTTTATAGAACTGCATTTTAAAAGCAGTACACTCACAATCGTGTGGTTGTACTGAAATGGTAAAATACAGCTCCTTGCAGCAGTGCTCATATTCAGTGGAGCAGGACTCTTGCTCGTGTGTTATCGCATAATTCAAACTCTTTATATGTAGACATTGTGCATTTAGAAGAGTTCAGATTTGGCTGCACTGTTGGAAGACACTTTAAACAGAACTGATTTTTGACTAAATATCAATTTCCCTTTGCCCGCTGACATCAAGTGTGCCTCCTGCTGAGCCATGATGTGTGTCCGCATATGTGAGGAAGAGGACCTGAGGTAATGGAATGCCCATGTGTCGCTCCAGCGGCCCACAGCTCAGCCAGGATCCACAGCAGGCTCTTCTGTGGCAGGTTGCTCCTCGGCTCGTAGCGGTGTGAGCGTGTTTATGTGTGTCTGTGTGTTGCAGCAGGTTGCTCCTTGGCTCGCAGCGGTGTGAGCGTGTTTATGTGTGTGTGAGAGAAGTGCAGAGGAGCAGTGAAAACAAGCCTCTCCCCAGGCTAGTGTTATTCCAACCTCCTGCCTTCCTCAATCCACTTTTGAAGGCAGGAAATCGGAGTTAGCTCATGGATTGAGGGCCATGTGGTAATGGTTTAGACTGTAGAGACCCATGACCTGCACCTCCACCCTCGCGCGTACACGCACACACACCGATGCCTTGTCCCTCAAAGTCTTCTTTTCTCATATAGCACCCAATACAATGGAGTGTATGTTGGACTTTTGTTTCGGTTGATAACGCAAACCAGATGGGAGGTAGGACAGGAGAGTTTTGTTAAATATTTGCTAAGAAAAATAACCCTGGGACGCGGTCTAATTGTATCTATTTGTCTTGTGTGGCTTTTTGGGAAGGAGATGTGGTTATGCAGGCCATATTGGGCTTCATTTTTCAAATGTGGGATCCAGTACAAAGCGTGGGAGACGGATGGGATACTGTGTGTGAGTGTGTGTGTGTGTGTTGAGGGAGTACAGACAGTTTGATCTGGTTTTTCCCGAGACCATCTCAGTATTATAAGCATGTTTCTTTATTTTGGGGATGATATTCCAGTACCTGTTGTATAGACCCTTTTATATACCTGCTCTTGAAACATTCGCTCTGTGTGTAGAAATAAGTGGTTCTCAACAAGCAGGTCGGGCCCACTAGGGGACCTCAACAAACTTCCAGGAAGGCCCTAATACAGGTGCATCTCAATAAATTAGAATGTTGTGGAAGAGCCAAAATCATCACAATTAAAAGAACCAGAGACTTAGTCTGTGTGCATTGAATTTATTTAATACACGAGTTTCACAATTTGAGTTGAATTACTGAAATAAATGAACTTTTCCACGACATTCTAATTTATTGAGATGCACCTGTACATCTTAAAATTATGCACATTTAGTCTTATTAAATATTTTTAAAATATGAAAAAGTAAAGATGTACAACATCTAACATCAGTTTATTCATTTTTATTACAACAGCAGCACTAGAGGCACATAAAGTATCAGCTCAAATATGGCCTTTGAATATTGCCATGTACAAAGAGGGGCCTTGAAGTCAAAAAGGTTGAGAACTACTGGTTTAAATGCACTTTAAATATTTGGACTTTAAATCTTAAAAAAAAAAAAACTGCCAGACTTAATCTGACTGAAATGGTACCAGTCTAGTTTTTGTGAAGTCATACCAGTGTTATGGTATTATTGTTGATATACTATTATACTGCAGTTTTTGTTAATATTTTACATTTGATTTTTATATATATTTTCTGTTTTCGTTTTAATTTTAAAGTTATTTAGATAACTTTTAAATTGTAAAGAGTTATTTAGAATGTGTTTTTGTCATTTTTTATAAAAAAAATTTCTAAATGTCTTTATAGTTTTTAAAATTAAGTTTTTTTTTTTTAGATTATATAGTTCTAGTTATTTTAGTACTTCAACCTAAACTGAATAAAAACTAGAAATGGCAGCTAGTATAAATAAAATAAGTTTAAGATTTAATTTTTTTTTAATTGTTTTAGTTTTAGTTATTGATAATAACCCTAAATCAGATTAACAGACCTTGATTATATGATTGAAGGTCCACTTCATTCTGCATTTAAACAGGTTACTCAGACTAGAATAGACCTCGTGCTATGCACTTGCCGTTCCTTTGTCTTTTAGAGACAATACGTGACGTGTATAAAATTTGTGCCTTAACTATCTCTTTAAATGCAAATAATATGAAGTATTCATGCACTTGCATTCCTTTATAAGGCACAAAAAGATCTCTATGCATTGACACCATCCCTCTTTTCCTGCTTTGATTTGCACAGTGGGTTTTGATCCAGAGGTTCAGTAGCTGGTCAGCTCATTGTGGACATGATCCACTGCAGTGACATTTCAATTGATCTCCATGAAAGGCCTGAGGATGGCGACTGAAGTGCGTCCAGATAAACCTGGGCAGGGTTGAGCAGAGGCCTGGAGCTCCCATAAAGCAGACCCGGGGCAAAGGCATAGTGATGCTCACTGCTGCATGGCAGTGCCCTCCCGCTGGGACCATTTCGCCAGGACTTTTCGTTCTTCTTAAGTGCTGCCAGTTCATTTGTGTAGGCCCACCGGAGGGGCACAGCCTATGTCAGGGCTTGGAAATCTGGACGTAGCTTATTTTTCACATTGCTAATAGGCCAGGATTTCTGTTTTTCTCTTCAAATGGTTGACCGATAGAAGAAACAGACAGAATTTGAGTGTTTTGTAGGTTAAATGGATGAGTTTTGAGTTTCAATCTTGTACTTTTTTTGGGAATAGTTCACCCAAAATGAAAATTGTCATAATTTACTTAATTCCAAACATCTGTAAACACAGAAGAAGATGTTTTTCAGTATGTCCCGCTCTGTCAGTAAAAAACAGGGTTGGAATGGCATGAGAATGAGCAAATAATGACAGGGTTTTTATTTTTGTGTGAGCAGTCCCTTAAGAGTTAAGGTGAGTGTGGAAGTGTACATGTGTGTGTGTGTCTCAGCACATGAATGCACTACAATAGTCTCTGTCTGTGTGTCCACACTCAGTCACTACATTCTGTGTCAGCCCAACTGTTGCATGACTGTTCTTATTGTTAGAATAAAATCAGAGCCTTTTGACTGTGGAAACATTTAACTGACGCCTACTTTTGAGGTTCTTGTGGCCAGTTTATTTTAAGTTGAAGACCATCAAAAGTTTTTGGTGCTTATAGTAATGATGGTGGTGATGGCCACAATGATGTCATCACTGTAAAACCTGGTTACCCAACATAGCTATTTCTCTCTGAAGAAAGTATTAGAATAAATATTCGTCTCTTTATTGTTACACAAAGCGTGATTAATTTCAAACATGTTTATTGCAGCATGGAGAACATGGAAAGAGAGAGAGCTCATCGAGCCTTTGATGCTCCTCATGCTCTTTCAGCTGTGTGGAAATGCATTTGCCCAGCCTCTCTCTCTTTTTCCCTCTCTGTCTTTCTCTCTCCCTCTCATTCTTTCAGGACTCAGAGAGAAAGGGTTTCATGAATAAGCTGTATGCCATTCAGGATGTGTGTATCAGTGTCCAGAATGTTCTGGATGAAGTGGCCTCCTATGGTGAGAGGATAAAGAAGTAAGTCTGAGCTCTCGCTGCTTGTGCTTGAGCAGTGCCAACCTCAGTCACATCTTACTCAGCCTGTTAAACAAACACAAACACAACACATGCTTACACTGCAAAAAATCATTTTCCTAATCACTGTTTTTGTCTTGTTTTCCAGTGGAATTTCTAAACATCCTTAATCAAATTTACCTAAAAAGCAAAACTTGCCTTAAGAGAATGTATGATATCATTTAAAAGTAACATTTATTTATTATGCAATAATTACTTTAATTCAACAATTTCAAATAAATGCTGTTTTCTAAACTTTCTATTGATCAAATAATCTTGAAAAAAAGCACAAAAAAATATCCACGAAAATATTAAGCAGCAGAAATGTCTTCAATATAACAGTTTTCGAATTAAAATAGACAACAGTTATTTGAAATTGTAATAATATTTCACAATAGTACTGTTAATTTTTATTGTACTTTGATCAAATAAATGCAGCCTTAATAAGCATGAGACTTTTTTCAACATGTTTATTGACATTTTTAACGTTTTAAGTAGTGTATCTTGAATTAAGTTTGTTTTACCCTGATAGCAATTTTTTCTTTAAACCTTAATGAAAACATCATTAGAAAAAGAAGGAAAAAAATCTTAATTCAAGACATATTCTTAGGTCTTGTTATCTTACATATCTTGTTTAATGTTTAGAGAGATTTTTTTTCTTTTTTTAGTTTTTGCAAAACTAGACAAAGGTACTAAATAACATAATTATATTTTTGTGTTTTTATAGTGCAGTAAAAATTGGAATTATCAGCTGTAATGCTCTTTTTAACCCCTTACAGAATGCCCCATTCCTTCAAATAACTTACTGTAGCATTGATATGAAATAGTAACACTGTACTGCACTAACACTGCACCTTGATATATACCATGACACTTACCATGTTATTTACCTTGTACACCAAGTTCTAAAAAATATATTGGAATGGCACATGTCCACACAACATTGTTTTACAGGTGTTGTTGTAACTGTGGTGTTTTGATAGAAGCTGTTGTAACTATAGTAACATTTTGTACAACCCCACTAACATAAATAAGTGAAACACTGTGTCCACACTGGGTACAACCACATGCCGCAACAACTTTAGGCTGTCTGTACTAGATGCATCAAAATGAATGTAAATCCATTTGTCCTGTCGTCGGAAGTAGCTCAAGTGCATGGAATATGTTAGATAGACTGGGGCATCAGTTTACTGCGTTCAGTGTAGACAGTATTACTGATTATAATGGGTTTTCCTGGATTTTATTGCATATTGTCACTCTCCTCCGGTGTGGACTGGAGTAGGCCTGTGTAGAAGGAAATAACCTCCTTTTCTCACTCTTTTCTGTGTTCTCAGTACTTTCAATTGGACTGTGCCTTTTCTCAGCTGGCTGGCCATAGTTGCCCTGTGTGCAGCCACTCTTGTGGTGTACTTCATTCCTCTCAGATACATCGTACTGGCCTGGGGTAAGCTGTCATCCATTACGTTCATAATGTGTCATGAATGACGAAATAACATAAGCCAGTAGCATGTTGCATAGCGTGTATTTTAGAATTTCAAATAGACTATTGTAGGAGTTCACAGAGTTTAATGGCAGTTTAGGTTTGCATGCTCCAGGGATTCGCCACCAGCACAGCAGGGAGGATGGTAAACTGCCGAGCTCAGGGCAAACTCACTAGTAGCTAATGCCCCGTGTGCTCTTTCATACAGTGTTCAGATCTGAAGCTCTGCAAGGTCAGAGAGCTCCTGTCAGCTCCATAGCAGCTGATCCTGTAAAGTACAATGATGAGGGTTCAGAATCCGTACAGGGTCTTAGGTCCTCCTGAACTGCACTCTGTGAGTGAGGTCTAATGCGCCACTGTTATTTCAACTTTTAGGGGTGAACAAGTTCACCAAAAAACTGCGAGACCCGTACAGCATCGACAACAATGAGCTGTTGGACTTCTTGTCCCGAGTGCCCTCAGATGTTCAAATGGTAGGTATTCCTTATTACATTCACCCGTACTGTCAGTTACTCCAGCATTGTAACTGACAACTGCATGTACAACTACTTTGAGTTCAGCTCATGAAAAATGGGGGCAAAAACAAAAGTGTTGCGTTTATAATTTTGTTCAGTATATTTGGATTTAGCCAAATTCCAAAATGATGTCATTTCTGATGTCAAAAGTTAATGTAATTTGAGGGGTCATTTATGTCTTTTATAAGTTAAACACTTAGGTTTATAACTTAGTTTCCAACCCTAAGTATGAGCAACAGTAATAGTGATGCTAGCCTTAGCAAACATAATAAAATAATAACAATGAACTCTGCTGTGTGAGAAAGTATTTGTGCAGAGTTTCCTGTCTCCCCGTTCCATTTTCTATGCTTTAATTTATGCCTCTTGCTCATGGTAATATGCATAAATGCAGAATCAGGGAATTCTATTCTTGTCATCACAGACAGCCTTGTGACTCATTACCATGGAAGGAGCGCAAGATGTTGACTTTTTAAACTCACAAACTTCACCTAAACTTTTATACCTATAATGGCACTTTCCTCTTTGGAAATATATAATGCTAATTAATATTTTATTGATTTCACTCCTTGTAATTGGGTGTTTCTTTAACAAAAAGTATCTTTAAGTACCAGGTGGTGTACTACTTTTTGTGTTTTGAAGTTCATGGTAAAACTTGGGAATTACTTGATTGCATAAATATATGCTATTGTGTATATTGTAAAGATTGGTTACACTTTAGAATAGGGAACACATATGCACTGTTAATTAAGAGTTTTCCCTTGATAAACTGCTCATTTGCTGCATATCAATAGTTAGTAAGTTAGTTGTTAAGTTTAGGTATGGGGTAGGATTAAGGGATCT